ATATATGGTTAGCTCCGATTTGGGGATTAGCAAAAACTTTTGCTGCACATTAAAACATCAACTTTAACTGGATTTAGGTCTGCCTTTTCCTTTTTTTTTTATAGATAAATAGTTCGACTGTCAGTTGAGGCCAGAGTTCAGTTTGGTAAATTAGTCTTTGCCGCGCTCGACGCTGTTTATTTTTGTGGACTTTGAGAAACGAAATGTGCTTAGTGCTTTTCGCATAATAAACTTTTATTGTCCTGATCCTTGTAATTAAAAAGTTTGCCCTTAAGTCTCGACCTTTCTGGGGAGTGCACACAAAACTGGGTCATATTGCACAAGCACTTATTTTGGGAGGAGGTTCTCATTATCATCGTTTTCTATGAGTTAAGAACTGACTAGAAGCGTAAGGATTTGAGATTTACATGTTCTAATATCTCATAATCTCTCACATAATCTGCATGTGTCGAAGTCAGATAGCTTCAGTTTTCTGGCTGATTTCTCAGCGTCTGTGGAGATAACCTATTGGGATGCTTATGTCAACCTTTTTGAGGATTGAGAGTTGAGAAATGAAGGCTTATTTAACATCAGGTCTACTTTTTAGAGCTTAATAACACAATACTCTCAATATATATGACTAAATTCGTATAGTTCAAGTCGAGAAGACAGCGATTTCTTTCCTTTCGGTGCCAATTGGATGCATGTTAAGCAAACAGGGTATTCTCCCTTGATAAAGGCGTAAGCCCACAAACCTCGTCGATCCACGACAATCAGAACTCAGGACTTGTCATAGCATCACCGACCGATGGTGTTCCATTCCGTCTTCTTTTGAGAGTCCACAGAAAGGCTCAGGGCAACAGACGAGGTTTATAAATGTATAGTTTCATTTACAACAAATGTAGCAAAACTTTTCTATCTTAACTAGAACCCCATGCGTTCTTATTTACCCTAGTTGCCCCTTTTTTCCGGAATAAAGCCTTCGCTTTATCAATCAGAGAGAGCCTTGTGTGCACTTCCAATTAGTATACATTTTTTTTTTCCTTATTGGGGTAGCTTTACCTTTGATGCAACTGCAAGTGGCAGCTGCTGCACACAGAGAGATTAGGAAATGGTAGAAATGATTTTCAATGCAAATGGGGCAAAACTTTGATTTCTACAGCTTCAGCCTCTAATTGGAGTAGCCGCAAAGTTGAACGCAAAAGCGGCTTTATGAAAATCAATAAAATCGAAAACTAGCCAAAGTAACAACCACCACAAAACACAGAGGCACACACACAGGGGCACACACACAGGGGCACACACACGCATGCACAGTGGGCATGGCACATGAGGTTTTTCTACCGGAAATGTGTGCGCGCTCACGGGCTGTGCCTGGGCCAGGAGCGCAAACCTGGCCAGGAATGCGGGTGGGCGGAAAGGGAGAATGAATGGGCAAACCGGAAAACGCTGGCGCAGCTTTCAGCGAGTGCGAAACAAGCAACCACCGCTGCGAAAAGTTGCCGCCGGTTTACGGAACGAAACAATGTTTTGTTGTTCTTGCCCAGCCGGATGTGCACTGAAGTGCCGCAAACCGGGGGAGCGGAGAGAGGGGCGGGGGCGGGCAAGGCAACAGCAAAAAGCAAACAATGCAAAATGTTTTGGAGAGCAGCGTTCAACGTGCGAATCGAGTCCCGTGTGTGTGCGACCTGTCCTAATCCCATAAATCTAATTGAACCGCCCAACTAGCTTTTGGGTTAGCCGGTCACAGGGCAGCTTAGCCGCTTTCCCTGCCCCCCCCCTCCCCCCCAGCCCCCTCCACATGCCACACCCCTCCGCCCGACAGCTGACCATTAAACGCGACTGCAACTCTTCTTAACGACATAAATTAAAAAGTTTTTCCACTGTCCGCCAAAAAGGAAAAACAATTGAACAATGCAACGTGCAACGAGAAGTGTTCTCCAGTCGGAAGAGTATGTTTAGCAGATACCCTGTAACAATACTTTATGCTGTGGCTGTACCTCTTCTCTTAGGCCCTCTCTAATAGAGATACATTCCTGAATAACTTGGGCATTTGCAGTCCGATAGTAATGAAAATCTCAGTGATCCAAAAAAGTGAAATACAGATACTATACGAGGGTATACACACTATATATAGAGACTTTAGCTTCTAAAAGGCCTAAGATATGCAGGAATTTTACGTGGACTTATCTATTTTATAAAAATTGATCTATTTTGTAAAAGCCGACTTAATACTAACTTATTCTGTACGTACTATAGAAGAAGAATATTAAAACTCTTTTGGACATCTACCCGTTTCTTTCTAGGCAAAAATATATAAACTTCTGGCTCGCAGATGTTTCCCTCTGCCTATAATACCCTTCTTTAACATTCTCAATGGGTCCAGGGTATGAGAGAGACAAAGCAACCCGCAGTTGTTGTCCTGCCGCATTCTGCTGCACTTTATGTTGGCCACCTGTCAAGCGTGGCAAAAAAAAAAAACTTCGAATTGCCATAAAATAAAAACTTTGAAGCTTTTGCTCTGGCCAAATGGGCGTGGCGTGGCGTGGCGTGGCGTGCCGGGTCAACTGCAACAACAACAAGAACAACAAGAACGGGCACAAGAAGTTGGACGTCCATTAACCGGATTGATGATGCGCCCGAAGCACCATCTGAATTGTGTCAATTGTGTGCGGGCAGACAAGACGACAATGGCCAAGGGAGGAGGAGGAGGAGGAGGAGAAGCTGGAGCAACATTTACTGCAGCACTTTTTGCAAAAGATGAAAAGCGAGAAAAACTCAGTAAATGAGATGATTTGTTCGACAGACTTGAAAAAAGTGTAGATGATAAAAGAAAGTTCTGTATTGGAAAGAACGTTTCGATTATTTCTGAATTACAAAAGAAAAACATATTGAACCAAATTCTAATTAAAACCGCAAAAAATTCTGTGGAATTGGAGCTCCAAGAACAAAAAATACAAAAGAAAAATCGACTATTAAAACTACCGTGAACCAAAAGAGTTCGATTGAGTTATGTTTGGAAAGTATTCAGAAATCTTCCATATCAATCTATCAAAATGTGAGGTTAGGAGCGATCGATTAAATAAGTTGCCTATTTATCGATAGTTTGCAAGTTAGCAAGTCTCAAGTTGCCTTCCATAAGTTGAGGTTAAGAGCGATCGATTACATAAATTCCCATTTTATCGATAGTTTTGATCAAGTTGCCTTCCATGATGTGAGGTTAAGAGCGATATCGATAGTTTGGATTAGGTTCACGCCTCACGCGCTTATCTCTCTTTACAAATTGCCTTCCATTCTCGCCGGCTTTCCACACTTGCCGCTTGTCGCTCTGCTTGCCACGCACTTTCAATTTTCTTATCAATAAAAGACGCTGCTGCTTCGGTTGCTCGTTTTCATTGTGTGTGCTGTAAGTGGGCGACGTTGAGAGCTGCACATAAAAATCAAGTCATAGTGATCCAATTAGGTTTGCCCGACTGAATAATACCCTGCACAGAGAACAACTTGATGTCTGCGATTGCTAAAGGAGATACACATATATATTTCTTATTGGAAATTTCGCGCTCTTATAGGATAGATAACCACATCTGCGACTTACACTTATAACAAAACCAATATGCCCCTTTTGAACGCATATTCAATGTGTATAGGGTATTCAAAAATACAAAGGGCGCAGACGCAGCGCGAACAATTGAATTCTCTACTTCTGCTGACGCTGCCACTTCAGCTACTTTTTTACTACTTAACAGTTGTTGTTCTTGTTGTGTTTGTTGTCGTCGCCTCCTTCCGTCGGATTTGCCGTAATTTCGCCATTTGCCTTTGTGAGTCGTTCAATCGTAAGCGCTTTGTGCGCGCAAAATGAAAATAATCAAAACGTAAAAAAAAAAAAGGAAGAAGCAGCATCAGAGATCTTCAACAAGTTTGCCGTTAGTCGAGAGCTAAGCAGATTTTTACCGTTTGCCCATTTCGCAAAAGCCAAAAGGCATAATTGCCAAGTGCAGCACTCGAAACGAACTTCACTTTGCTTTGAACTGCCCCAAAAATAAAAGGGCTGCCCTCCCTCCTACCCCTCTCTCACACTCCTTGTATCTATGTCGTTACAAAAGGAAGGCAAATGGAAAGAGAAGTGGCAAAAGGCAACAACAAACTGTGGAACTTGTCATCGCATTGTAGAACGTGTTAATGAAAATTTTTATTTTTGACTGCTCAGGGGGTAATGGGCGGGGGCGGGGGGGAGGTGTATAAGCACCGCAAGATAAGCTACAACAATAGTATAACAAAAAAAAATTGTGGCTTGAACTTCAAACGGCGACGATGCTGCGCTGGGATAATAAACAGGCCAAAGAAAAATGTAAATAAATAAATGCGGCAAAGCAAAGCACCAACAAAAATCGTACAACAACTGAGCAGAGAAGAGTGTGAGCGAGAAGAGCGAGGCAGAACGTGAGAGTCAGCAGCAGCTGCATGTGTTGCTCCCTCTCGCTCACACTCAACCTTATGGTATTCCACGCGCAGAAGTCGACAGCTGGTTGCCGGACTGGTTTGGTTTGGTTTGGTCCTCGAGCTAAATTACAGACAATTACAAGCAGACGCAACAACAACAACAACAACAACATTGCTCTTTGACTTTTTAAAACGCACAACAGCAGCAGCAGCAGCAGCAGCAATAAAATGGGATTTGCTTTTATCAGCAGCAGCAGCGCCAGCGCAAATAGAAAATGCAGCGACGCTCTCTCTTGCTCTCTGCCGCTCGCTCAGCATAAACTTGCATTAATTTGTTGTTGTTGCCAGATTGGGTATTTTTTTTTTTTTTTATGTTTAGTTATTTGGCTGATGCGTTCATTGGCTTTTGTAACGGCACTTTGTAGTGTCGAGTCAGGCAATGATGCATTTTTGTGCCACTTAACGAACGATGCGTTGGCCACACTCACACACACACGCACACATAATAATCAGGAGCAAACAAGTTACCAGGGCAGCCAATGAGCTGAAAATAGCCAAATCTAAAGTGTGGCAGCACTTACCTTTAATTTAAATTAGATGGAATATTTTTTATTGTGTAGCCAGCGGCTTAGCCGCGCGTTTTTACAGTTACAGCTATAAAATGCAGTTGCCGCCAGCGTCGCGTTTTGTTGTTTTGTTTCACGGTCGTTACTGGACTGTATACAAAAATGAACAACAACAAATACAATAAACTATTTAGCTTTGCGGTTGCCGAAATTGCGCTAATTGGAAAGCGAAGGAGATGCACAAGAGAGAGAGAGAGAGAGAGACGGAGAGAACAAAAACTATAATTAAACACGTACGCGGGGGGATAAATAACGGCAAAAAATATCCTGCGGGCGCATTGAGGGAAAAAAAAAGAGGAAATTTATCGTGATAAAAACGAAGTAACAGAAACTTTAAGAGCGAGGCGTTGGTCGCGGGGGCGGCGGCAGAGACGTCTGCTGCGGCAGTCGGTAAAAATTCAAAAAGAGATACGAGAGAGCGAGAGGCAAAGAGGAAACACTGAAGTTGGCAGCGGAGGCGGCGTCTGCACTGCGCAGGATATTTCATACGGTTATCATTTATTTTTATTTATTTTAATTAATTTTCATCATCACAGTAAAGCGGGCGCGTTCATTTCTTTGCTTTTTCGCTTCTTTTTTTTTTGTTACTCCGCTTCGACACTTTATTTCAGTTTTTTCCCACTTCTTTTGCGCTGGCGTGTTCATGTGTATGTGTGTGTGTGTTCGTGTGTGTGCGTTGGTGAGTGTGTTGCTCTGTTTGTGTTTCCACTGCAACTCCCGTTGCTGCTGTTTTACTTGCTGTGTTTGCTTTGCTTGGAAACTGAAACTTCTTTCTCTTTTACACGCACACATTCACACGTAAACACACACACATGCACACACACACGCACGCACGCATACTAACGAAACGGCGCACAAACAACTCACTTAAAAAACTTACGCGTTGCTTTTGCGCTAGCTTCCTTTGAATTCAACTACAATTTGCACTACACACACGATTTTCATTCAATATTTTTGAACTTTAGTTTTGAGTTTAATTCTTATTTTTCACCGACAAGAGACGGAAAACACCGACCGACATAGCCTCGCACAGAAACGCGTCCAACTCGTTCAACGGTTATTTTTCGACTAAAAGAAGTTTTCTCTCCCGCTCACACAACACAAAAAAAAAAAACTAAGGCTCGCGCAATGTGGCCGTTGCGACATAAGGTAAAATTACAAAAAACCAACAAAATATACAAATTCATAAAATATCGCACTGTATGTAGGACTTATTGTTGTAACTGTTGTTTTAATATTTTTTACACTAGAAAAATATATTTTCTTCAAATACATGAGCATAGATTGCATAGCAAAAAATACCAGATAATTTTGGCCCAACTTAGTGCATTTCAGTCATCTGGCAATTCTTTTACAGTGTGGCAACGCCATCTAGTGTGGTTGCCACACAGCAAATATCATACCACATCGTTTTCTCGCAGTGCGCGGCCGTGTTTCTTCTCTCGCTAATTCAAAGAAAAGTACAAGCAAGCCGCTATAACCCAACTAAAATTATTGCTAAATTCGCTGCTTTAAGGCAAATCGCATAAGCAGCAGCAAACGCCGCGTCTTACGACCGACCGGCAGTCCAGCAGCAGCAGTGACAATGCAGTCCCATAGCAAAAAGCGCGTTTGCTATTATTACGACAGTAAGTTGGCTTTTAACTAACTAAAAATGCAATAAATCCCAGAAACAAAGCACTATGCAAGAATTTAGCGCATTTGCGGCCTCCAAACCAGCCGCAATAGTTGACGGTGGCGTTCATTCGGTATTTTTGTGAATTTCAATTTTTACAGCGACTGTACCAGCATTTTGGCACACAGCACACTTTCCGCTAACGACCGCAACGCATGCGACTCTGTTGGCGATGGTGGTGGTGGTGGTGGTGGTGTGTGCGTGCTTGCCAGTGTGCATGAGTGTGTGTGTACCTGTAGGTCTTTGTTTGGTGTAGCGAAAGTGCGGCGTCGGTCGTTTGGGTCAAAGTGCGCTGTGCGTGCAGACGCCTTGCCGGCACTGGCAATAAAATTTTCGTTTTGCAGAGCGTGGCGCAAAATGTTTATTTTTTTTTTTTTCTATATACACTGTTCGGAAGGTGTGAACGGGTATATGTGTTTTGTGTAAGGTCTGCAGCAGAATGCTTAAATTTTGAGTTATATTTGTAATATTTGTAATGTCAAAGTATGCTAGAAGAGTTTTGGTTTTGTTGGACACGCCCAACGGGTTGGAAGTGGGAGGCTGAGTCAAAATTTATATTTTTTACAGCTTTAGAGCTTGAACTCAAAAACAATTGGAAGCTTTTTGTGTAATTTGTAGCTAAATGAAGTATCTAGAAGTCGGCTTTCGGGCAGTTTGAAAAAGAACAGAGTATTAAGCAGTCGGCTTTCGGACAGACTACCTTACACCCGCCAAATGTCGGTTCGAGACACCTTTAGCTCTTATTATCTGAAAAGGGAGCTCTTCTTACCACTTTTAGCTCTTTTCTTGAACAGAGTATTGTGCAGTCGACTACAACTGAACTGTTTAACTGTTCCACAGGTGACATTGGCAACTACTACTATGGCCAGGGCCATCCCATGAAGCCACACCGCATACGCATGACGCACAACCTGCTGCTGAACTATGGACTCTACCGCAAGATGGAGATTTACGTAAGTCGATACGCCGATTCGCCAATTGGAAATGCATTTAATTTCCCTTTCCCAACCCGCCCCGTTTGCAGCGACCGCACAAAGCCACTGCCGACGAGATGACCAAGTTCCATTCGGATGAGTATGTGAGATTTCTGCGTTCGATACGGCCGGATAATATGACGGAGTACAACAAACAGATGCAGCGCTTCAATGTGGGCGAGGATTGTCCCGTCTTCGATGGCCTCTACGAGTTCTGTCAGCTGTCCGCGGGCGGCTCGGTGGCCGCCGCTGTCAAGCTGAACAAACAGGCCTCGGAGATCTGCATCAATTGGGGCGGCGGGCTGCATCATGCGAAAAAATCGGAGGCATCCGGCTTTTGCTATGTGAACGACATTGTGCTGGGTATTCTCGAACTCCTGAAGTATCATCAGCGCGTGCTGTACATTGATATCGATGTGCATCATGGCGATGGCGTCGAGGAGGCCTTCTATACAACGGATCGCGTGATGACCGTCAGCTTCCATAAGTACGGCGAATACTTTCCGGGCACGGGCGATCTGCGCGACATTGGCGCCGGCAAGGGCAAATACTATGCCGTGAATATACCGCTGCGCGACGGCATGGACGACGATGCGTACGAGAGCATCTTTGTGCCTATCATCTCCAAGGTTATGGAGACATTCCAGCCGGCGGCCGTGGTGCTGCAGTGCGGCGCAGACTCACTGACGGGCGATCGTTTGGGCTGCTTCAATCTGACGGTCAAGGGGCACGGCAAGTGCGTGGAGTTTGTCAAGAAATATAATCTGCCCTTCCTGATGGTCGGCGGCGGCGGCTACACCATACGCAACGTCTCCCGCTGCTGGACGTACGAGACGTCCGTGGCGCTGGCCGTGGAAATAGCCAACGAGCTGCCGTACAACGATTACTTTGAGTATTTCGGGCCCGACTTTAAGCTGCACATCAGCCCGAGCAACATGACCAATCAGAATACAGCCGAGTATCTGGAGAAGATCAAGAGTCGTCTGTTCGAGAATTTGCGCATGTTGCCGCATGCGCCAGGCGTACAGATTCAGGCGATACCCGAGGACGCCATCAACGATGAGTCCGAGGACGAGGACAAGGTCGACAAGGATGAGCGACTGCCGCAGAGCGACAAGGACAAGCGCATTGTGCCCGAGAACGAATACTCCGACTCCGAGGACGAGGGCGAGGCTGGCCGCCGCGACAATCGCACGTACAAGGGCCAGCGCAAGCGGCCGCGCCTCGACAAGGAGCCCATCATCACCAATTCCAGCAACAAGACCTCCTCCGAAACCTCCAGCGATATCAAGGATGACAAGGAGAAGGGTAGGTATCCTGGAGATTGACTGAAGCTAAAGTTGCCTGATGCTATGAAAATGGACTTAAGACGGGATTTATTGTCAATTTCACCCGCAAACTTATTTTCAAAGAAAAAATGCATTTTGAGCTGCTTTTTCACACTTTTTGCAAATCCACCCGCAACTGTGAAAAACAGGTGAAAACGATTTACAATCCGAAGCAAACTCATTTTCGTCTTTAATCAATTAAATTTATAAGAAAATGCATTTGAATTGAGTTTCGCACCTCGCAAATCGAGGGTGTATAGATGTCAATGTTTGAACTGGCGAAGTTGCTGGTTCAAACGCATTAACAAATGTCTTCTAGCTTTCAAGCAAATGATAGAAATGGACGGCAGACGTTGCTTTCAGCTGTTGCTGTTCAATTCGAAGGATTTTAAAGAAAATTTTCGAATTTTGAGGCAAAATAAATATGAGGGCAAGCAGAAGCATAAACTTGGACCTGGCAAAGCCGGGCAATACCTAACAGTAAACCATTATTAAATGCATTTCTTTTCCCCTTTGCAGCCGATGGCGTTGATGGCGAGGAGACGCCCACTGCCAACAGCAACAACAACAACAACAACAACAGCAGCAACAGCAGCAGCAGCAACAACAACAAAGGAGACAACGATGCGAGCACAAATGCGGGCGGCGCCTCGTCGGCGTCGAAGGGCGCCAAGGAGAACAACATATGACGTGGCGGCCGCAATTGGTTATAGAAGCCAATTAAGCGACCGCCCAAATACAAGCCGCCGGACTTTACCTAGCGCCTAGCTCCTACATAGTTAATCCCAGATCCCAGCCCTCGTCCTTTAGTCTAAGCCGTTTGCCAAGATCCACGCTGGGAGCGAAGCGAACTCCAGGCAAAAGTAAAGAAAATGAGAAACTAAATGGAAAACCAAGCAAAACTAAACTTAATATAATATATACAATCTATTGTTAGGCAACTTTCTCTTCAGTGTAAAGCGAATTCGTCGTGTTTAAGCTAAGCAACAGATACTTTTATAAAATCGAAACAGATACAACTACAGATAAAGATAAAGTTAAAGATAAATATACAGATACACAGATACAGATACTTACCACATAAGCAAGATCCATTTTTGGCGATTCTTGCAACTTTTAATCAATAAAACTTTTTAAATATTACTTTCTCAAGCTTTTCAATTGTATCCAAGATTATTCAGAGATCAGATCAAGATATGTTTCATATGAAATTATTTCTAATAATTTATGGAATATAGTTATGTAATCGAGTATTATAATTGTATAGAAAATTAGTCAAAGATCAGATCGACATATGTCATATATATATAATCAGCTCTAATCAGCCTCTATTATGTTCATATAGCATTTGGTTATAGAATGTTTGCAAGACCTCTTGCATATTGGTTTAGTAAGATATTACGGATATGGGATCCATATTAAGTTCCTATGCACTTGTAGAGGATATTATATTTGTACATAATATTAATTAGAGATCAGAACGACATATGTCATATATAAAATTAGATTTATTTATAGAATGATTAAATCTCTTGGGCATAGATATGGAAATAGAGTATAGAGGGTATTATAATTGTATTAAGAGATAAATCAGAGATCAGAGATTAACATATATCATATATAGAAACTTATGTACGCTCAAGAATCAGATCTGAGCCGCTAATTGAATGTATATTAGATTAAATCCTTGCTGGATTTAAAATATTTTGGATATATGTATTCTATCAGATATTTGAATGGAGTATTATAGAGAATATAAAGAGTTTTAAATAAGGGTTTCAGGCTTTCAAATTAATCAGAGATCAGATCAACATATGTTCAATATATAATCAGATCGTATCATGGGTATATAGATTATAGTAATAGAATGTTAACATACTTACCTGGATATAGAATCTCTTTTAAGAGGTATCAAAGAATTCCAAAATATGTTTTTAAGACATGTCAGATAAGGTATATATATATTCTTGATCATCATTGAGATTTGCCCCGTTCTGTTCCTTTTTTTCATTTATATCATGAAAGTTCTCATCGGCTTTTCATTTTCTATGATATCTTAACTCTACTTCGTATTTACTAGCATTAGTATGTTTCCTATATATAA